TTTAAAACCAAAACAACCAAATTATCAATATCTACAAATCTATATACTTTTAGAATAAATTGAATATATATTTAGACTTTTTAATCTTTAAATGAATTATATTTTTGATAAATTTTAAACTTAAAACCAAACTTTATTTTTTGTACTTTCTAACACATATAAAGATCCATTAAGAACCAAAAACAATTCCAAAGAAATCCAAAAAAATCCAAAGAAATCCAAAAAAAAATAAAAACCATGCTAAAAGTCACCCTCAAAGCCAAACATAAACCTAAAGTTAAACCAACTATGTTTTACAAATAAAGAATTTGCAGGATATTTTGACTTTACTACAAAAATCATAGACATAAAAAATGGAACAAAAAAGGAAGATATGTCATCAAAATCAAAATTAAAATGTATTATTAATTGATTTTAAATAAAATTAAAATATTTAAATATTTAAAATAAAATATAATAAATAATATCATATGATTATTATCAATATGTTTTTTTTAACAAATATTTCATAGATGATATTTTAAAAAATAAATATTCATTATTTATTATTTTTCATGTATTAATTTAATTTTTTTATTTAAGGATCTAAAGATTTGAGTTGTATTTTCTTTGCACCATGAACTTATTTATAAAAATAATACTTATTAAATACAAAATTATCATATCTAAAAAATATTCCTAACCGTTAAGATTGTAAAAAGTATAGAAAGAAATAATGATTTTTTGTTATAAGATTTATATTTTACAAAAAAATAATATAAATAAAATAATATTTTTTTTACCTAGATCAAATTTAGGTTAAAGTATATCTATATTATTTTAAATCTAATATAACAACACAAGTCCAGTAAACACCATTTTAATGAAATTAAATTGAAAGACTAAAGCTGGATAATTTTGTATCTAAGAGTTGATAAATCTTTAAACTTTGGACTTACTAAATTATTTCTAATAAAAATATTTTATTTTGATTCTTTATAAATATAGCTTTATTTCTTTACAATATTGAAAGAAAAAGAAGTCACTTGAAGTTATATGGTTGTTGAAGAAAGTCTTATGAAATTTATTTTTTAATTATTCAAATAAAAACCAAAGTGGCATTTTTAAATAAAAAAAACTAAAGAATTTCATAAAAAAATTAGAATATAAAATATATGACATGGAAAAAAATAATATTAGTTTAGCCAATAAAAATATTGTATAGAGTTTTTCTAAAGCTCACATAGTTAACGAAATTAGTGGTTGAATAGTGGGATATTTATATAATAACCTCTAATATCTAACAAATTTCTGAGAGAATTCTCTATATGCACATGGCACATCTTAGATCCAACTTATATTTATGAATCTTCTACAATGCTTCAAAAAGAAGATACTATTTACTTAATTAATTTCAATAATTTCTATTTACTTCTATCATGATAATGACAATTTTTATAATAGTTCTTTTTTTTTTTTTTTTTTTTTTTTTTTGAATTGAATTGAATTGAATTGAATTTTTTTTAGGAAGACCATGTCTTAAGATGTTATATTTCACAATCTAAAATTTTTATTCTTATGTAATCAACAAAAAAAATCAATAGAAAGTGGATGGATTTTAGAGAAAAACAGGATGAAAAATCAATAATATTTTTAAAAAAAAAAAAAAAAAAAAAAAAAACTGAAAAACTGAAAAAAAATGAAACCAAAAATATAATTGGAAGTGGTGATAATATTGAAGTTGATAGTAGAAGCAGGTAGAGTTAGTTCTAATTTATGCATGATTGTAAGAGGTAGATGAACTTTTCAACAAAAAAAACGATGAGTGGCTGAAGAGTTGTTTTAGCAGATTGAAAAAATCATGAAATGAAGAGATCTGGATTGAGGATGATTGTGCGAGCTGCTAATAGAGACTGTTTGAAACATCTAAGCAGCAGGAAAAGCATCACACTACGGCCATCAAGGCCCATCAAGAAACTTGGGTTCAAGTACATTGCATGTTGAGGCATGTATTCAAAGACTAAGAGGATTGTCTGTCTTTGTGTACTAAGTACAAACCGAGAGCAATAAAAGGTAGAAATTTGATGGTAGCAATCATAGATTGCGATCTACTATTAGCACAACAACCTGCACAAAAATTACGACTAGCAACAAGCTGCATCTCATTTCCCCACCTGTGCTTCAAAAAAAGAAATTAAAGGTGGGTAGTGTAGAAGAGATCTAGGCCCTTTAACAGTAGAGAATGGCACTAAACACATCTGTTAGTCCTTGATGAAGGCAATCGACCAAAATTGAGTACTTCGAAAACCTGCCGACAACACCAACTTAGTGGCAAAGTGTGCAGAAAACGTCACTCGAAATGATACAAAGCTTCAAGATTACTTACCTCGTTCTTGTTCCTCAGAAGAAATCTCTTTTAAATCATGGTGAGAGACTTCGATTTGATGAAGGTGGTCCATTGGCTTATAAGACATCAATGGCTACTGGCAGTGGCATTACAACCTTCAGAACTGCCTTCTCGTGGTACAACTAGACATGGACACTTTCACTGGAGAATTAACAAACAATTAGGTTGCAGCATGTCCTGGGACTTGGAACTGTGGCTTATCACCACATAAGAAACGCTTCTTGTTGAGTTCTAGATTCAAGCTGACTCGGTGGCTCTGAAAGTAAAGCTGTAAATGCCACATCGTGTCTACGATGACTGCCGTGGTACCAGCACACAAGAAAACTTCCGTTAGATTTGAACCAAGCCCAGAAAATCACTACACTGCTCTCATCATCTTCAATTCTGCTCCAATCGCTTTCTAGAAAACGAATATCATGAGCTGTAAGTTTTCGGAGTTGGCTCCTCTGAAAACTCCGTTGACACCCTTACGAACGAAGTGCATTCGGCTTTTGAAAGCTTGCCTATCAGCTGCACCATTTGTGATATAGGAGTAACAGCAGGAAGATGAAGAAGATGCACATGTTCTAGAGCTCATTTTGCGGCGATCTTCCAATGATCATGTGTAACACGAAGGATAGCGGTCCTGCTCTTTCTGTCAGAAAATTTGAGATTCTAACAAGTCGTCGTTTTGTCTAATGTCCAAGATGTGCGAGATAGCCGTTCGTGCAGCTTAAACTTATGGACATGTCTTGCGCTTTACCATTATTAATATTTGACTGTGTCTCGAATCCAACTGTGAGAAACGTTCATCAGGTTTCAACTGTACACCTAGTTGAGAAGCTTGGGTCTGTGCATGTCAATGCATGTGATAGTCATATATACCAATAAATTCCGTCAATGGAAAAGACACGATTATCTCGTTCTTTCCATGGATTAGTTTTCATGAAAAAAAAACGTCTAAGCCATGCCCCGATGTCACAGCAACAATAACTTGTACAGACACATCTTATAAGGCTAATCTTGTGCTCCTCGTTAAGTTTCAAGGTTGTTGTTGTTGTTGTTTTATAAAAATATGAGATATTTACATATCTTATTTTATAAGAATCATACAAGCTTGTTTTTTGTGCCATATATATTTGTTTACATAAAAAAAATCAATTCAAAAATGATTTTTAAGATTCACCATTTTAGTATAAATTAATTGATAGATTCAAAGTCAAATAATGTTATTACTATGTAAAAAATGAAGCATAAATATATATATATATATATATAACATATTTTGCAAAGGTTATAAATTTAAATAATAAATAAATAATTGTAGTAGTATTTTTATTTTAATTAATTTTTAAAAAATTGTGGTTTATTTTTAATAACTGTAACAATTTTTTTTTATAATTTTTATGTTGTTTTTAATATTATAGTATTAAAATTTTATGATTATTTATTCAGTTTTTAAAATCTTAAAAAAAGTCATTTTTTAATATATAAGATAATAAGTAAAGGTATCAAAAATTAATGTAGTTGTTGATGTTCCATATATTTATCCCATGAATATATTCTGTTTCAACTAATAGTAAAACCTAGTGTTAGTTTAAAAATTGGAATTAAATAAATTCAAAAGAATATCCTTAAATAATTAAAAATAAATAAATAATTTAATATAATTTAAAAATAATATTTTAAAATATAACCTTTAGTCCAGCTTTTTATCAATTCAAATTTTGAAAATTATATAACGTGTACAAAAAAAAAATTAAACATGTAATTTTTTGCGAATTTATTTTATTTTAATTTTAATTAAACAGTTTAACATTATCAAAAAATCATATTATAATTAAAATTATTAGATATTTTTATTGGAGTATATTGAAGTTTAATAATTTTTATTGAATTAAAAAAATATACAATCTAGTAATTTAAAATTTTAATTTAATGAAGACTATGTATATATATGGTATGATGATAATGATTATATATATATATATATATATACCATTCTTCTTTCATTCCCGTATGAAATGATTTTGCATTCACATGTATATGTTTATTTATTATATATATACATATATGCACACACACACACACACACACACACATATATATATATATATATATATATAAAATTCACGGCAACAAGACCTCTAAAGTTACTTTTTCTGTACTGGCCCCAACCCAACAGAGCTTTTTCACGCAGAGTTACTTTCGGCTTTAAGAGGGGGGGGGGTAGGGTGACTTTATTCCTTAATCTTTGGCATATCTGCATGTCCGTGTTGGTGGCTTTGTCCACCCTTGCGCTGCGTCGCACTTCGCGGGGCGTTGCAACATCTGGCACCAGAAAGCGCCTCCTACTGCACTAGCGAAGCTGGATTGGAAACTTTCAAAGGTACCTTTTCCCCAAGAATATCAGATGCAGCGGAGATGACTAGTTCCAATTGCTGCATCTGGGAATGCACCTCAGTCGGGGATGATAAACTGCATCGGACATGAACCAGCCGCCGTTCGGTGGTGCGTTTCTAGTGCGAAGCAGCTTTCTACCAGCACTAGGAATAGATTCATTGTCCTCGACCTTGTACTTCCTACCCTATGCGTAGAGGGCTACACTGGGGAGGCTTACCTTGCGGAGGTGGTATTATGTTTGTTACCTCGTCGTGGATGTCGCGTGCAGTGTTTGTTTTTTACTTAATTAGAAACTCGGAGAGGATGGATCCAGTGTGTAGAGGCAGCAACAGCGAAGCAGTTCGTGAGGATTGCCAACGCACTGAAATCCGTGGGGTTTGTTCGCTCTGCTATATAATGCAACGACGATGCCGGGGGAGCGCACCGGGGTATCTTCCTGATCGACCTCTCCTTGCCTGCACTTTGCGGAGGTTACAGGATCATGCCACAACGTGCTGATAGGACCATTGCAGTGCATGTTCTGACAAAGGACTTGGAAGGTGCCTGATCTGTAAGCCACATTCCGTAGGAAGAGGTCCTCCGTCGCAAGGGGTCGAAAGGCTGCTTCTTCTTCCGTGGAGGATTTCGCCACGTTGGGGGGAGGGTAATTGGTTTTTGTGTGCTCGATTTTGTGCTCGATTTGTGCATGCATCAACGTCATCGGGATCGGAACTGTACTGGAGTCAGTAGGTGTTCCTTCACCCCATGGTTCTGGAAGAGAGGGGTTTGGGTGAGTTTTTGTGGCGGAGAGGGTTTAGGAGATATTCGACGGGAGGGAGCTGTATCCTGTTCCGGGTAAACCTCAGTTTTCAGGGTTATTTGGGTGATGGATTGAATTCAACGCCAATTACTTGTAGGTGTCGGTTGCCTGATTTCACAGTAGTTGGAATTTGGATTTGGGTTGAAGATGCTGAACTCCTTCTGGTTTTGAAATCCTGGAACGGAGTTAGGTAAAAAATTTAGTTTCTGCAACTTTTGGTGCGAGGTTCCAAGCATATACGTGTGCTTGCTTGTTTGTCACTCTGGAAGTACTGCTCAGTTAGACTTGGTCAAACCACGATTTGTTGTCGCTAGCTCACTCTTGCGCCTGCACCTGTATTGTCTCCCATCTACATTGTGGGCTAACTGAGAACTTAGACGTAACTGAGCAGCAGGACTTTAAGTATCTTTCCAGATTCGAGTGATCGAAGGGAGAGTTTTGGAACCATGTAGGCTTCCAAGTCAATTGGACAATTGTAATTGGGCTCGAAGAGTAAGAAGGAAGGTAATTCTCATCGATGGAGAGTAAGGCGGAAGGAGCTACAAATCGTGTCCAGCCTTGCATTCTCTACCGAAACTTTAGGAATCCTTCACGAGGAAAATTCCTGTTCATTCTTCCATTCTCTCAGCCGTGAGCGTGCTGGACCCAGAATTGCGAACATGTAAGTCTTGAAGGACACTTTGGGTTTTTGTGATCTGGAGTGTCCTCCTTAGATTCTGAGTACGTTCTCTGGCCAAGAGCGTTAATCCCCTTAACTCAGTGATCTTCCATTCTTTGAGATACAAAAGTACTTCCTGTTATTTGTGTATACTCAGCTGTGTTTATCTGCTCTAAAGTACGGTAATTCCTGGTTTTTCCTCCACGACGACGTCGTTCCCCAGTGTAAACAACTAAGCTAGTAGACTTCGTATTTGAAACTGAATCTGTTTCGAAAATCTTGGTATGGATGGTATGAGATAGTTGTCTCAGACCGTAGATGAGCCAGCACTTCCGTGTAGTGCTATGCAATAGCGCGCCTGATTAATTTCTTGTCCAAGAACATGATGTATACCAAATGACTCCTTGAAACATACTCTTCCTTTTCTATGGATGAAAGAATTGTGCGGTTTTTAAAATATTGCGTAAGGCTCTTAAATGTTCAACTCTTAGGGCGTGATACGTACTTTGTAGGAATTTTGATCTTAAAAACTTTGTACTTTCTTCTTGAAAAATATCTAAAGCACCCAATCGCTGTTTGGTTTGTTTGTTTGTTTGTGTAAGTTATTTGTACACAATGTGTATACGGCATGAAGTGATCAGGAAATGATTGTAGTTCTTGACGTAATTCTAGAAGCGCAATGTTGATTGACATATACAGAACCGGAGTCGCTGAATTAACCCTTTCAGTCGCCTATTCAACAGGACTTGGACGGGAAAGTGTTGAAGGGAGCGCCAAGAGAGGGCAATGGGGAGGAAACCATGCTGCGAAAAAGTAGGGCTCAAGAGAGGGCCATGGGCTGCAGACGAAGACAAAAAACTTGTCTCCTACATCAACGCCCATGGGGTTTCCTGTTGGCGTGCCATTCCCAAGCTAGCAGGTATGATACATTAGGTGTTGCAACAAAAGTGGTCGTTTATTTCAACACTACGGGGTCATCAGTCATCACTTCTACTTGCACTTTAAATCACACCTTTTCTAGTGTGTGTCTTGCTCGATTACAATGAATTTTTCTCCCCGTGCTCATCTAGCTTCCGTCCAATGCTGATTGCATCGACAATAATTGTGTGTGCCATGACACAATCGCAGGTTTGCTGCGATGCGGCAAGAGTTGCCGACTTCGCTGGACGAATTATCTGAGGCCTGATTTGAAACGTGGAGGCTTCACTGACGCAGAAGAGAACTTAATCCTTGACCTTCATGCTACCCTTGGCAACCGGTACGTTTATTTATCATCCTGGTTCTTTGAGGCGCTAACGGTAACGATTTCCGAAATATTCTTAAATCGCTACATGTTTTGGTGCTCTTTTCCTGGTAGCTTCCTTTCAGCGTTTACTACTTGAGTTTTTTTATAGTCGAACTTCAGCTCTTACGAAAAAAATCTTTTATCTCGAGATAGGCTCTACTAGGTCACTTCTGTAGCTGCATGAAATGTTTGTAGCGAATATCACCAGTGATATAATTCTGGACAGTAGATAGGATTCAGACTAGCTTAGGTCAACGTGGGCATTGGTTTTGGAAACCCGAAGACGTCCAAAGAGATGTTTTTCAGTGTGATAATTTTCCGTGTCCACTTCTAGGTGGTCAAAGATTGCGATGCAGCTTCCTGGACGCACAGATAACGAGATAAAAAATTACTGGAATACGCACTTGAAGAAGAAGCTTTGCAGCATGGGCTTGGATCCCGTTACACACAAGCCTGTCGATTCAGCCTGCACCGATGGTGACACAGAGACCGCCGACGAAGGTAATCTTGATTCCTCCGAGGGCCACTCAGGCCACTCTAAGGTGATGGAGAATTCTCTGGCCTCAAAAGTTTCGGACGAATTGGCACAATTAAAGACCATCGACTACCTCGGTGAGAGAATGGATACTCAAAAGCCATTTCCGACCACCTGCAACGAGATTCCCGAGCAGGGTGCCATCAGTGGCAAGTCTTGCAGCTTAGATACCACCAATTCGTTCAAGGAGCACAAACCTGATGTATTCGTCAAGCTTGAAGAAGGGACATATACTACCGGGCCTGATCATATGAATGCCATCGCACTTGAGAATCACACTCCTCTAGGCCCAAATTCTGAAGGTGCTGCGGATTCTTGCTGGTTGCCTCAGGAGCAGTCTCTAGATACTGCAGTTGGTGGCAGTTCATTTTACCAGGAGGTTGCTGTAATGAACGGCGGAGGTTTGTTTCGTCAGCTTTCGGGGTTCACCCAATCCAACATGGCTACAGCAGGTTGGTCGACATACTTTGGAGAGACACCGGGTCAACCTTCCTCTACTGGATGCAGCATCTCTTCGTGGAACCAATCCTTTGTGCAACCACCAGGAGTTCCACCGTCTAAGGAGATTCAGAAGCTAGCTGCCATCCTGGACCAGATTTAACCCCTGGCCAAATATTGGACCTGGCTTACTCCAGTTGAGTATTTGCGTGCATGCATGACCACAATGACCTGCTCGAGTGGTTTCGTGCCATGGCTCCGCATCTGCTCTGCAAAAGCTGTGCTTGGCCTGCTCTGGTCTATCGGAAGCGACATATTTCAGCAGGCGACAGCACTGCGTCTTGCTTGGGAGTGATGATCCACAGGCTTTACAGCATGCGATGCGATGCTGGAGATTGATGATCTAATGCTGTTGTGCTGGCTCCATGTCTGTTGTCCGAGTGAATGTCAACATGGCAGGATCATAGCGTAAATTTGCTCGATCGTCATGGCTTCATTCTCGAAGTGCACATGACTGCAATCGCTGTCAAGAACACCCAAGCGCAAGGTTCCTCAACGAAATTCAGTGCACCCTTTTAAAGCTGCTTCAAATATACTGACATCTCTGCACACTCTGATGGGCACTACATCTCCTCTACAGACTAGCGCTACAATTCCTAGCCACCTAATTCCGACGAGGATGTGAAAAACTAGCTGCCTTGTGTACAGATTCAAGTCCAGCTTCAAGACGGATTCAACTGTTTTTACCGATGTATTACAAGCTGCCTGCGATATCGTCGACTGGCCTTCTACTGTACAGATAAAGTGGTTGTTCCGATATTTGTACTAGTTTCGGTGGACTGTTATTTTGGATCATATTTTCTAGATATTTGGCTTGTGATTAGAACGGGGGTGTCGTTTCGACTGCATTATGACCAAGTTACATGTGGTACGAATAAAAATCAGGTCTGTCTCGAATTGTGGTATTACGTTTCTCAAGCTTTGTTGCTTATTTTTGCTCGTTTTCTCTCTTAAATTATCAAGTTTGTAAATAGTTTCAGAAACCTGATGGTCCCATAAACTGGGTTGTTTCAGATCCTCAGCCGCAATTCAAACCCCTGTGGTGGTTCATTGTTCCTTTCAGCAGAAGTTTCGAAACCTGAAATGTACATTTTGAATCATATTCCATGTATGGTGATGGAAATAGTGTGACTTTGTTAATCATATTTGCCGAAAGCTTCTTTTGCTAGGGTTTGGACATTGGTGCAAAATTTTTGATTAGACTTGGGTAAGATTTTTTGATTTTAGATATTAAACATCAACAACAAATCTCATCAAATGTGATGAGAATGTTTATTGGTGCATGTAGTGGTCAAAACATTGTTTAGAGATAAAAATATTTAGTGTATAAATCAAAGTTATGTTAATGTTAGTGTGTTTAAAGATTATAGCCTCTCACCTTATCGATTAAGTTTAAAGACCTTTTCAGAGAGGCTTCTCAATTTCAACCAATCACAAACTTAAAGAGCTGTTGTTACTTAACTTCTCTCTATGCCTAAAAAAATCCTTACATTAAAAAAATATCTTGATATAATTAGGTGTAGGTGTAACTATAGCATAAAATCATTAATAAGAATTGTTGAAATTCATAAAAACATTTAATTTTTTTGTATTAATGATAATAAGGTTATTTTAACTATTATTATTTTAATATTATTTTATAAATTATATCCTATTTTCAGTCTATAAAATTTTATTCTTGTATGAAAATAAAATTTTAAAATTAAAAATAGAAAATTAATTTTTGAATAAAATACTATTAAATATAAATATAAATAGTAATAATATTAATGATACTAAGTTTTTTATCTTTATGAACAAGAAATTTAAATGGTATTTTATATTTAAATTTAAATAATATTTTTAGTTGTATATATATGTATAATAGATTGAGTTTTAGTTTTAATTTTTTTCATACATACAATGAGAAGTAAAGAAATTAATTAATCTTAGCATTTAAAGATTTGTAACAAATTAAAATAATTACTAAAAATTTACCTTATAAATTTTAAGATAGTGTATATATATATATATATATATCAAATTTTAAATAGAATAAAAACTTAAATAAAACCAATAATAGTTTTATGATTCTAAAAATGTATTGTATAAAATAAGTAATCTAATACGTTATAAAGGAGATGTTCTTTCTTTGATTTATAAGAGTAATATTATTATTATGTTCAGTAAACCATGACCTATTTCTAAAGTATTCAGATACAAAATATATATATATATATATATATATATATATCCTTTTATACTTATAAAATGCTTTTTAAAATAATTTATATAATTTATAATACTAGATAGTTCCACAAAAAAATATTATGCAAAATATTGCATATTATATGATTACATAGTAACTTTTATTACACTAAAAATTAAATTAATATATTAGTTTTAATGGCACCTATATCATGCATAAATAAAAACACTACTATTTATTTTTAAATTTGGATATATATATATATATATATATATATATATATATATAATTTTTTAAAATACATAATAATTATGCAAATGTTTTTTTAAATGCTATATGGTTAATAACTAAGTCACACTATTTCATCATTGGTTTTGAAGAGAATAGTCTATCATGCTTCTAATATAAGATCTAATAGCAATGAAGAATGGAATAATGAGGCCATATCTTATATCTGTTGGAATGTACAATAATGAATTTATCTATGTTGTGTATTTTATGGATTGAGCCACCCAAAGCAAGAATAAGTTATCTTTTAAAAATTCATTAGTAACATATTAATATGTTTTAATTATGAGTCATGTGCTTGGCAGCTATTGATTCAACAATCAATTTAAATATTTTAAAAAAATTATGACCAAATTTTTTTTGTTGTATCATTGAATATTATTGGTTTTCTTTTTCTTTTTACTTTTTTCTTTTTTTTTTCCATATTAAGAGTTTATCATAATTTTCTAATAAAATATGGCTATAAGCATGTTATCTTCTTTAGCACCAAATCAAACTTCTAAATAATTATAATAACAAGCAAATTAATACAATCTCTTCAGATTCCATAGTTTGAAATCAAGAATTATAATGTGGAATTCATTATGCATGAAGTAATGGTGATGTTTACTACAGACTGGTGAAATTTGCATTTGAACAACTGGTTGAACTTGCAGGAAAACACTTACAAAATGGGTGAAATCATCTAAATTATTTGTTGATTACCCCATTTTTGGTGGTCCAAAAAACCAGAAAATATTTCTAAAAAGAAATTAGTAACTTTAAAGAAATCATTATGGAATTTTAAGGTACACTTTAAGAAGTAAGATTTAGAAAATTTTGTGTGTAAAATATAATTTCAAAATTTTGTAATTGAAAGGGATGAAATTAATTGTGCTTTAGGATTATAATAAGCATTATCACTATCTTTGTTATAATAAATATTTCATCTACCATAATCTGCTAAAAAAACAATATCCCAATTTTTTTGAAAAGTTAAGAAGTTTGAAATGTTCACGGTTTCTACATGTCAACAATATGATCATATTCAAATCTTTAGAATAATTAAAAGTTTAAACTATTGCACATTCTAATAGCATGTAGAAATATACTTAATTTTTTTTTTTTGAATGCACAGAATTCTCATCAATAAAATATGATTTACAAAGGAAATTAAAAGAAGAAAAAAAATGAAAAAGAAGGAGACAAAAAATTTTAAAAAATAAAAATAAAAATAAAATCTTATTCAGAAATCAATCTGGTTTCGAAATTTTAGTAGAAAGATTGAATGTTTTCAAGGGCTGATTGAAAACGTTTTAAAATGAAACTTTGATTTTTTAAAGAAATGATTACAACAGCTTACATAAACATCATTAAATACTGGTTCAAGAAAAATATGAATGAATTTAAATGAGTTTAAATTATATATTCTATAGAGACCTTGATGTTCAACTCATACTAAACGAATAAATTTATATTTTTCAAAAATGTCTTTAGAATTTAAATAAATATCTACATGAATCTTCTTGGATATTATAACAAGTAATTCATTCAAAAACCTCAAACTAAAAGATTCAAATATTCCGCAATATAGAAATCTACAATTTCAATATTTTTAATCCAAAATTTAACATATGTCTTGATTTTCAGCTGGTTGTATTTAGCCAAAGTAGAATTTTAACACACAATTTATTTTTAGTATGTATTGTTGAAATATTTGCCTTCAAACGAAAAGCATTGTAAAAAAAAATCTTACGAATGCATAAACATAAAATTAGCATTCACACAATGCATGTTTTTAAGAAACATAGTGTAGTCAAAGTTCATGGATGAATGTGATTACCCACTTGAAGGGTATTGCAATGTCCATCCAAACGTACTTTGGGAGACACGGTGCATGCAAATCTCAAGTCATTCATCCATCACAGATATTTCCGAATTGGATGATTACGGCGACATCCATGGATGGAGACGATCATTCATCTTTATCCCCCTCCAGCTCAGGAGTGGGCACCGTTTCCCGACCAGCAGCACCGCTCAATGGACACCCGGACACGGATCGTGAGATCTAGAGGTCCTAAGTCCGCGTGCGATGGACGGCCCGATCCACACAAAGTAAAAGTCCCGTGCTGTAACTTGTGGCTCCGTCCCATGGACGATAAATTACGAACGAACAACAAACGAGGCACGGATATCGTCGTCGCCATGGGACGAGATGCATCCTCGGGACGAATCGATGGAGAGCGTCGACCATCGGATGAACAAGAACGAGAGATCGGGACCGTCGGTTGATGAATGAGGACGAGCGTTGCGGTTTTGGCGATGGCTGGAAGAAAGCTTCCGTGCGGGGAGAAAAGGTAGGCTTTGCTTTGGTCTCGTGGGGAATGTGCGTGTATGTTCGCACCGATCAGCGCAGACTTCAGCTGCAATCGAGCGTGCGAGGAGCTCTAGCCCAGGCAATTTGTGCAAACTGTGGAGGTTGTCTGTGTCTCTGTATTGGTTTTTTGGAAAAAACTTGACAGGTTTTTTCGCTGGAAGGTAGCGTAGGGTTTTGGTGAATTTTTTAGTGTTGGAGGGAACGGGAGGAAGAGCCAGAATCAGAGCCAGAGCCATGGCGACAGTCGATGTTGCGAGGGCAGAGATCGCCTTCCTGGTTATGTACCTCAACAAGGCGGAGACAAGAGATAAAATCTGTCGCGCGATCCAGTACGGGTCCAAGTTTATCAGCGCTGGTGAGCCTGGCGTTGCGTCGCAAGTCGATAAGACTACCAGCTTGGCACGCAAGGTTTTCCGTTTGGCCAAGGTGAGTTCACATTTCGGTGCCAGAACCTTTGGTCCATGGACCGTAGCTTTTCAAATTTTCCGTTCATTCTTAGAAGTGATGGTGATTTTCGTAGTGGATTTCATTGTATTCTTCTTTCTATTTTGCAATTTAATTTTCCTTCCTGATTTCATATTCTTTTGGTGGAGACCGTAGTTTTAGTGCAGCTATTAAATGCCTGTTTCATAAGACCTTGAAAGTATATTTAAATATATGTAGAGCTAGACATGGAGGATGTCTGCGGAGAAATTTTTGTACGTTTTTCTGGCCGACATGCCAAAGAGTATAAAACATAAATGACTTCTGACAAATATCGAAGTAGCATATTGATATGGAGCGTTTAAACTGAAGGGGTTTTATTATTATTTGGAGTTCTTTTAGTATACATTTGGGGGTTACGAACGTTTTACGGATGATATTGAGATTCTGTAATCTGCAAGTGTACCGCATTTAAGGACTACGACTTGGTGATTCCTTCTGGTCTTCTAGGGGCTCTATTGTTGGGAATAGTGTTTGGAGAAATGTGGCAGCTTTTTTTAAGGAAAAGAGAATGTCAATTTTACAAATTCAACTCCGAGAGTTGTATTCCAGGTGTCATTTGGCGATTGACTCAGTAGTGTTGAATGGTTGCTGCCTTAATAGACGTTGAATGAATTGCAAGCGCTGCTAACTCCCGCTCCCAAGACAACGCCATTGCCTATCGTCCTACTCGGCAAGGTAAGTGATCACTGAACTTTGTTTGTCCGTCTTTGTTTCATTCTAGGTATGTGTTAGAGTATACGAATTCTAATCTTTTCTTTCCATATAAACGTTTAGTCTTATTTTCTTACAACTCAATTGTGTAATTTTGAGGCTCCTTTTTTGTGGTGGGAAAGCTAGAAGTCAGTTGTGTTTGGGCAACTTTTTTCGTAGTAAATGCTCACTGATGTTATCTTGTTGATAAGGAAGAAAGCGTTGTAGGGAATCTTTTTGGTCTCTATATACTTCTTTTCATCAATCGCTTTACTTCCATCTATGCATGATTGTGTTCTTGTGTTCTCTTGGTTGGCCAGGCCAAAAATGCACTGGTGGGAACGTTCTTGTTTCTCGATCAAATCGTGTGGGCTGGGAGAACTGGCATTTATAAGGTATGATCTAAGCTTGAGCACTTCGTGTTTCATATTTTCCGCTTCTAACTTATGTGATGAGTCGTGGCTTGGTTGCTTAATATGTTGTTTGGTTGCTCAGGACGCGGAACGTCTGAATCTCATCTCGAGGATTTCCCTCTTTTGCTGGATGGCGGGTACAGCATGTACCGCTCTTGCCGAGGTTAGTTGCCTGTCAGAGCATCTTATGACGTTGTGAAATCTAACTACTGAATCGAATGTAATACGTTTTAGGAACTCTTATCTCAGAAATTTTCCACATGTTCTACTCAAGCAAGTAATTGGAATCCTCTGCTGCCGTTTTCTATTTGGTCGACTCGTTAGTATTAGTATTGTCCATCTTTTCATGCTTTTATACGTACGTATTAGGAAGGCCAAACATGTCAGCAGATGATATTTTACTTCAGTTCGTTGCGTCTTTCGAACATGGAAAAACTGTGCCAGAATGATGGATGCACCTTTATTAATATATGAGAGGCTTTTGGCTTCAGATCGCAGAAATCACTCGTTTGGGGACAATTTCAAATAAGGTTCAGAGGGATCTGAAGCTGGCTAGGGGTACTGGCAGTATTGAAGAAGCGAAGCTGGTAAGTCAAGTGCTCTATTGTTGATTAGTGTCCCACTAGCCAATGATGATCGAAACTCTCCTGGTTTTTTGAGGTTTTCGAGGTGACTTTCTACGTTTTGTGCAGAGGGAACAGCGCAGAGAAAACTTGAAAAAGTCGAGGGAAAGATCGCTGAACTTGATCAAGTCATTAATGGATATCGTAGTTGCTGCTGGGTTGCTTCAACTTGCCCCTCGCACCATCACACCGCGTGTCACTGGAGGCTTTGGATTTATCACTTCCGCGATTTCATGCTACCAGGTACTTCTCTCAAGCTAAACTAGATTACGTGCAATTACTACTTGCTTTAATTCATTCCTTGCATTATGCATGGAAGCGCGGTTGTCCTCAAGTTGATCCATTAAAACCTTGTTCCTGTGTTCCGTGTTTGAGCGTATTCTCTTCATGTCTACTCAGACAATCATACTTTGAAGTGACATTCATTCGGTCTAGTGCTCTAGGTGGGATGAACCACCAGTCTGCTGAATGGCTGCCTCATTGGTCGGACAATCTGAGGAGGTTTTTAGGCCAGTAATGATTGGATGTGTCGCTCAACTTGGCGACACAACTTTAACAGTATAGAGTGGAGCTCTTAGCAGTAACTGGCTATGGGGTTGTTCTTTTACTTTTCATTTTTTCTTGATTAAAAGTCTAGGATATAGTTGGCCATATACGTAACACGATTAATTCTGTAACTTCTACTGTGCTGTACACAAATATATGTTCACAAGTTAACCGATATACGTCCTGTGGCTTTTGTTGTGCGCAGTTGTTACCACCTGCATCAACCAAGGCTAAGGAGGTCTGAATGTCGAGTTGAAGAAAAACTTGCTGCATGCAATTTGTCAGAGTGAGTTGGATTCATGTAATTATTGTTAACCTCTTTGTGTTCCGAGCTTTTATGATTGGTAGCTTAGCGAGGTGTTGGTATGATACCAATCCCTGGTTTGCTTGTTCCTAATTGAGTTATGCTTGCACTCAAATCTAGGGGAGCGGTATTTTGGCTCACTCGCAATGCTTTCATGTACCCTTCCCGCATTATGAGTGCCACTTGGCTCCATGGTGTGATATATAAGTTTCTTCAACATTTCTACTGTGACTACCTTATTATGGTTGTGGCGTATTTATTATGTAATATTGCCGAATGTGAACCTGCTATGATGATGGTTTTTTTTCTTTTCTCTGCTCTCTTCATTTTTGGGGTTGTATATTATGACATATGTTCTATGGTACTTGTGCAATAAAAGGTTCAAAATAGATTTGGAATGCAGTTGTGCAGGTAGGTAATAGATGTTGTTGCTATCATGTAGTCAATTTATATTTTCAAAATTATTCTATTCAAAGTTGTTTGGTTAGTTATAAGAGTAATTTGCTTACGTCGTTAACATGTGGAGTACGTTATAAATGTAATGGTCTTTTGGTATTATTTCCATATATACTTAACATCAAAATGTGTATGTCCCTTTCGACTTCGGAATAGAAAACCATGTGGTTAGGTTACAATAAGCTAATTGCTTTTCTTAAAAACTCCATTTCCCAATATCATTTACAAGTTTTCAGGTCAATGCCCACTCGATTTCCTGTCGTATGAGCAAAGCGCACGTTTATAGGCAAGTAAGCATTCGTCCGCTCCACACATAAAAAACAGTTGCACAGAAATAACCAATGTGTAAAAATTCGAAGTACGCGAGGCAGTGATCTACGAGCTAACGGTCACGTTAGCAACAAAGTCTTTAACACGAGGAAGCGCCAGATCTTGGTTTTTGTCATGAAGATGATTAATATCAACAGTCCCTTCGGTGAGAAACCGGAATGTTTCTTGGTACAGACTTTGCCAGAATTGGTTTATACTTCCTTGACTAACCTGCACCAACGGCGAAACACTTGCATGTCAATTAACTCATTTGATCGACACATGGTAGACTATATGTGACTCAAATGAACCAGCGGAATATTTCTTATGGCATACCTCAAGTGGATGGACCATCGGGTGGGGTACTCTTTCGGCAGCAGTGTACAACGTAGAGAAATGTGGCGGCCCATGTGGACCTGCATTTGTATGAGCATTGCACGTTAGATGGAGAAAATTAGCGCATCATCAACAGAGCAACAAAGCTTGCGCAGGATGAGAAATGTCAATAAAAAAATCAATTTCGGGTGAGGCAGAAAGGCACCGCTCCGTTCTTCGATTTCTTTTATAATTCGGAGCCCAACTGTATGGTCAGCTGAATCATCGATTTCCGTCTGAACGATGAGGGTTGGCATCTTGGCCAGAGTGTCCAAATGCTTCTTTTGCCGCACGAAATGGCCATAAATATCCACAGCCACCATGAGACTCAAAGAGAACGGCATATCAGGGTACCAGCCTTTCTCTTTCGCTCCTAGAGGTCCAGTGAGCTTTGAAAACTGGACATTTTTCTCATTGACAATCTGAACAGAGAGACATATCAATTACACGTGCCATTCGTCGGAACATATGAGATATCACATGCATCCGATAGCATGTAGGAAAGTCTCAGATTTCTCTTACTTTTCTTATTATCAGGGAGAGCTTGGTGAATACGACAGCTGGGTACCGATTATAATTACCTTGAGGAGAGGTGCAAATACTGCTGTTCTTGCAACCTTGTCTGGGTGCGTAGCGGCGATTGAGAGTGCGGCAGCTCCACCCATTGACAAACCTACCGTCATGAGAGGACCTGGAAGAGATTCTACCTCCTTCAACCGCTGTTCCGCCTCATGAAAATAGTCGATATGATTAGATTTGTAGAATCTGTAGGCAGGAACGACCGCCAATCTCAGTGAACCCTACGTTACAATGAGATATCTGGAACAAATATTCATTCGACCTCTGGTCTCCTTGAAAGAATAACCATTTGCTGACTTTGAATTCATGATTCAGAATGACATGTACCATCATAGGACTAAATAGTTTACGAAGGTACATTAAGCTTGAGAGAAAAAGTGGAAAGGGTACTTTGAAAACGCAGTTGAGTACTCTTCGTCGCAAATTGCTTCATGCAGTTCTGGATACTCTTTCTCAATACAATTCAATGCCCCAATCGCCTGCAAATCAAGACGTTAGATTAGAGAACGTAAAGGAATTTGCTTCATGCAAGAATGAGACCAGATTGCAATGAAACCTCCTGTAGTCGAAGCGCAGACACATCCTCGTCTATTTTTAGCATGAAGAAGGAATACATGACAAACAAACGAATTTATCTTACATAGTCCGTAGGCAGCCCGGAGATGGATATGAAATTATCAACGTAAGCTTTCAGCTTAGGGTCGTTCAGGAGCTTCTTGACCAAATCCTTTTTGATGTCATCTTTGAAGTCTGCCTGCATGGTCACAGCCATTCTCCTTCAAATTTATTTTTCTAAAAATTGAAGTATATCAGCGATGTCCTGAAGCCATTCTAAAAATTTAATATCCTCTGACCTTTCGGAATTGCAAATATCGGAAACAAGAGTCTTAGAAGTGCACCTTAGGCCAGTATTGGTCTGGTTTATTAAAGTAGTGACCACAAAGAGCCGGCTGGTAAACGTTGAAGCCATTCTCATACAGGTATTGCGCAAGAAGGCTCATCTGAGTAGTCGTGGCCGAAAATCCATGGAAGATTATAACTGTTCCATACACAGAGTCGCCTTCGTTGTGCAGAAGGTAGTATGGTAAAGCATACTCCCGCTTATCCGGATGACCGGGACATTTTTGCACAAATTTGTCCATCTTACTTTTTGCCTGTCGAATTGAAATCACAAATATCGTGTGTGTCACGAATACCGAACTTAACAACAGCTCTTCACCACGAGCCAACCCATTTCTAAATCAAACATATAGTACGCGCATCTCAAGCATCCACAATAGTCAGAAAAATGAACAACGATAACCGACATTGTTCACTCCATAGCCGGATCAAATATTGCGATGCTTGTAACAAGAATACACCTCGACACATCAAACCATACACCCCAAACAATGCAATGAAGAGGCAGATGCTTGAACTAAAAGGTTCGCAGGTTGTTTCTGTCATCGTGATTTCAGTGCCTTCTAGTTCCTCGCAACAACAACCCGGCGACTCTTGGGTATTGTACTCTACAAAGCTTAAGAGAGAAAGCTATGGCGGATAGGAACAAACCTTCTCAATCTGACTCTTGGTGAGAACAACCTTCTCGAGCTTCGGGGGCGTCTTCTTAGCCGCCAAACCCGCCATGACTGTCACTCTCCTCACCCTTGGGAATGACACTCGCGAAGATGATTGTGGCAGCGTGGGATGGAACAACCGAAGTTCTTGTCGTCTGCAAAAACTAAGATCAACACCCTTGCTTGTGCAACTTGAGATCCTCAACGCAGCAGCCATGTTAATCCACTGGTCAAGACTAGCTCCTGATACCTCGACGACCTTTACGCTAGACAGAGATCTTTTCCTACAATGCAGCCTGCGACGACCTCGACGAAAACACTTCCAACAGATGCTTTAAGCATAAGTGAACGGATCGCACACGCGAAGCTCGTGTACCGAATAGATTTTTTCACTACGCGTCGCCCCACCTCTTCTGCTCACTCCCCGACCAGATCCCCATGTCTCATCAGGCATGGGATTGTGCATTGCAATCCAGACAACACTCGTGCGAGCTCAAGGATAGTCATGTCTGAACCTTGCAACCTCGTGCTCAGGCAGACCAGACGACGAAGATTCCCGTACCCAAAAGCAAACTGCCTCCATGAATGAGGAATCAAAAATATCTCCCAATACCCTTGGCCACATCTGGTATCGTCAACCAGACCCCAAACATGTTGCATGTGTTCTGTCCCACTTTTGAGTTCGTTCACCCAGTCAAACGTCTGTAATCACCTCCAGTCAAAATTGTGACACTAATTTACTCCGTTTTCAGGCCCCTGACTTTAGAAATTTGTAATTTGCCTGACAGTCGGCAGTTCGGTGTCACGCGAGGTGTTAAATTGGTACTGTTGTGAGGGGCATTGAGAATGACACAGAGGTTGGTAAATTCGATTGCACTCCGTGACTGCATCAGAACTCCTCTTTCCCTCCCTCTCTTCCTATTGATAACAATGGCGTGCGTGCAGTACTCAGAGCGGCGAGATCAAAATGCGCCGGAGCGTCGGGCGCCTAGACTCCCCATGGCTGCGGCGACGAAGCCATGGCTCGGATGAGGGTATGGGGTCGTGCCGCGCGTGTTTCACAACGCCCTGTTCGCGATTGATTTGCCTGTAGAAGCCTTTGTGCTATTTTATTCCTTTGAAAATGTTGAGAATGTTTAGAAAGATAAAAGAGTAATAGTAAGTAATACTAGTAGTAGTAAGTCATACACACAAGAGGGTTTCTAAGGAGAGAGAGCTTCACACATAAAAATTCTATTGGTCTGGTTGTGTCTTGTATACAAGAAGAGAAAAGGGGAGAGAATAAACAATACTTCTCCATTAGACTCTAAATACTATAGCTACAATATTTACTGTAGTCTACAGTAAATATTATGGAGAGCGCTTGCTACATTTAATGATCTCAACACTCCTCCTTGCTCATCATAATGTTTATATAATATAAAATTTGTATAGATTTATGATCTATACTTTTCTGTGATCTTACAAGATCAATAATTGTTGTCTCATTAAAACCTTATCTAGGAAAACCTTATTGTATTTAAGGACAAAACCATAGATGAAAGAAAAAGAGCACAACATCATTTTCTTTAATTATTTAAAGAACTCATTAACTTTCTTATTTAAGAAAAGCAAGTTGCTGCATATCAATGCCATAAGTAAGTCAACGATGGTTGCACAATGGGAGAGCTTTGGTAAAGAGATCATGAAGCTTATTTGTAGATTCAATTTTCTTAATTATAAGTGTTTGATCAATAATCAAGTTTTTAGGTATAACTAAAATACTTTGGATCAATATGCTTTGTCATGTCGCCTTTAATGAAACTAACTTGCATCTGTACAATACAAACACTGTTATCTTCATGCAAGATAGTTGGAGAATCATCATTTGAAAATCCATAGGTTGTTTGAATGAATTCATCAATTGATTGCAACCAAATACATTCTCGAGATGCTTAATGTAAGGCAATAATTTCTACATGGTTGGATGAAGTTGCAATTATTGTTTGTTTCACTGATTTTCATGATATTGCAGCTCCATGTCTTAAAAATACATATCCTGTTTGAGATTTAGTTGTTGCAATATCAAATTTATATCCTGCATCACAATATCCAACCAATTTTGGATTTACAGATTGTGTGTAGTATAATCCCAAGTCTTCAGTACCTTTTAAATAACGTAATAAATATTTGATGCCATTCCAATGTCGTAGTGTTGGACGTGCACTATCTCTTGCAAGAACACTAATTACAAATGCAATATCTGCTCTTATAGATGTAACTAAATATAAAAGTGCTCCAACCGTTGCAAGGTATGGATATTGATCTCCCAATATTTCCTCCTCCTCCTTGCATAGACGATATGGATCATGATCATCACGACCACGTCCAACCATTGGTGTGGACAATAAATAAGCATCAATCATATTAAATCTTCGCAAGATTTGTTTAATATTCATTAGTTGGTAGAGAAAAATGCTACCATCTGTTAGATGCATAATCTGAAGACTAATGCAGAAAGTTATTTTTCCTAACACTTTTATCTCAAATTCACATATAAGTAGGTTAGTAGCTACAACACATGCAGATGTAGTGCCCACTAGGTTAAGATCATCAATATATACACCAATAATCACAAAACCAATTTTATCTCATTTGATAAACAAACAAGGGATTAGTGGATCACTTATAAAATTATTTGTAATTAAATAATGTCGAAGACATTGATACTACTTGCGTCTGGATTGTTTTAAACCATACAAGGCCTTACATAATTTAATACCACAATATTGTCCTGCAGCGGGTCCATTTGGAGTTCTTATTTCTAAGCCAGGTAGAACTTTCATATAAATATTTGCATCAAGAGAACCATATAGATATGTAGTTACTACATCCATCAGATGCATCTCAAGGGTGGCATGAATTGTCATTCCAATAATATATCGAAATCTAATTGAATCCATGACTGGAAAATATGTGGATTCATAATCAATGCCAAATTATTGAGTAAATCTTTGAGCAACAAGACGAACTTTATAGCGGATTATTTGGCCTTGAGCATCTCGCTTGCATATTAATACCATCTTAGATCCCACAGGGCGAGATGTAAGAGTATCTACAATTGAACCAAAGACTTTCTTCTTATGCAAAGAGGCATACTCCTCCTCAATAGCAGTTTTTGATTTTGACCAATTAGAGCGATGCATCGCCTCCTCAATGGTTTGAGATTCAAGATTGTCTTCCTCACAAAAAAAGACTTTTACAATCATATATGCAAATGATTCATCTACCATAATAGATGGTTTGTCCCAAATATCATTTGTAGCATAATATAGAATAGTTAATTCTTTACTCAACTTATTCTTATTCCTTCCAATTTCAAGATTGTTTTTCATAGGAATTGAAGGTACATTATGCATGGATATATCATCATGAATTAGTAGTCCTGCAAGATGAGTGGTAATTTCTTGAGAAATAATACCAGGATTAGTCAATTTTATAGCTTTCTTCTTATGTGGTTGCTTATCTGGTCCACGAATTCTTTTAGTTGTTGTTGTTGTTATAACTTGAGGTATTGTAATTAATGGCACTGCAATCTGAGCAAGTGCATTCTGAGCCTCATTAATAGGAACTCTTGTAATTCTAGGTGCATCATTGAAGCCATTACGTATTTCATTTGCAATCCGTTTTAGATGCAAAATCTTAGCAACTTGAATTTCTGCCAAAGATGTCCAAGAATCGGAATTCATTACAAACATTTTTGGTGCTTCAAATATGAGTACTTTATTTCTTTGTTGATTGGATACTCCTCTTTCAAGAGATGGAAATACATTTTCTTCAAAACGGAAATTTTACAAATGTCCATATAATAATGTGCCAATTGATGGATCAATAATACGAATAATGCTTGGTGAATCAAAACCAACATATATGCTTCCTTGTTGATGAGTTCCAATAGTACGTCATTGAGGTTTTGGTACTGGAATCCAAGCACGACAACCAAATACTCGTAAGTGAGATACATTTGGAACATGACCCGAAATGAGCTCATGTGGTGAAACAATTTCAAGAAAAGAAGGGCGGAGGCATATTAATGCTATAACATGTAAAATTGCATGACCCCACATAGATGTAGGTAAATTTGCGTGAAGGAGGAGTGGCCGGGTAATGAATTGTATACGCTTTATAAATGACTTTGCAAGTCCATTTTGAGCATGTTCATATAAAACACAATATGTTAACTCAATTCTTGTTGCAGTACAATAGTCTTCAAAAGACTTTAATGTGAATTCTTTTGCATTATCTATACGCAATGTTTTTATAGGATAATCAAGAAAATGTGCCCAAAAATGAATAAGCATAGATATAAGATTGGCAAATACCATGTTTTGAATTGATAATAATCAAATATGTGATTGTTTACCTGATGCATTAACAAGGACTAAAAAATAACGAAATGGTCCTGATATTGGATTAATAGGACTACAAATATTACCATGCAATCTTTCAAGGATTGGTGGTAATTCTTGTAGAAGTTTTCAAATTGAAGGCTGAGTAATCATTTTACCTCGCACACATATATGACATAATTCCATAGAGTCTACCTACGCAAGATAGTATGTATTATTACAGAATCAATGAGTGCATCATTTGATTCATCATTAGAGGTTTTGTCATTCATATAAGCCTCTAAGTTATCAACACTAATTGAATCCATGAACGCATCCATGGTATGAACTTCATGAACCTCAGCTTGTAGTTTCTTATTTTTTTAGAATATTTTAATAAAATATTCTGAAGTACGGCAAGCATGTACTAAATGTCCAATCATTCCACACTTATGGCAAGAACGCATCTCTGATTTTTGTTTTCTACTATAATTAATAGTAGAATATTTGTTCTTTCCATATAGGTAGAAATGGTCATGACTATGACTACCTTGATACTTATAAGCACATTTTCCATGTTTACATAATTTTTTCTTAGATTTTAAAATATTAAGTGCATGAGATTCTGGAACTGTAGTTCCAATAGGACGAGTTTCCGCATTGTACAAGAGTAGCTCATTTTGCTTCTCCGCAAGAAGTAGATAGGACATGAGATCAGAATGACTCTAAAATTTCATGTTTCTATATTGTTGTGCAAGCACAGTAGATATAAGAAGAAATGTAGAAAGAATTTTCTCAATCATTTCTTCTTCAGAGATATTTTGTCCACATAATCATAATTGTGAGACAATACTATATATTTCACTATTGAAAGCATTTAAATTTGGAAAATCCAAGATACGTAAATGTGTCCAATTATGACATGTGTGTGGAAGGAAAATAGTCTTTTGATGATCAAACCTAGATTTAAGATTCTTCCAAAGTTCTGTAGGATCTTCCATTTCCAAGTATTGATGTTGTAATGTAGGTATAAGATGACAACGAAGGAGAAGAAGTGCTTTCCAACGAATAGCAAGACAAATAAAAATACTTATTATAAGAAATTCTTCAAATATAATGACATCCAAGAGTTGTTCTGCAAATAAATTTGCTTTTGCCATTTTTGCCTATAATAGATAATTTTTTCCATCCACATTCAATAGT